TTTATAAAAAATAAATTCCTTATCATCTAATTCCAATAAATTGCCAAATTTCAAACTCACGACGTTTGAATTTATAACTTATTTTCTGTTACTAGTTAAATTACCTTGGAGTTTAAGAAGTTTAACTTTCATTCCCATCATGAGAAAGTTGTAGAATCTGTAGAGATGGTATAGCACAATTATATTCTCCCTATCCAAGGACCGTGGCTTCCATTTTCTTTTCTGACCAAGTTGAGCTTCCTCATTTTTGTTTCACACTACACAACTTTGTTAAAAAATAAAAAACATTACACAACGAATTTCTTAATATTTTACAACTTTTACATTCATGGGACATTACAAATTTCTGTCAAACATGATGGCCTAGCCTAGACCAAGTTCAGTCTAGAATTACAAACCAAACCCAGGTTATAGGTGCAGCCCAGTTTAGATTAGGCCCAAATCACGGGTGCAGCAAAGCCCAAATCAGAAATATAAGCCAACTAAGATCAAGTCCATCGTCTTGAAAATTCTAGTCTACTAGTGACACACGTGAGATCTTCACCTTAGAAAAAAAAATCAATGTACACATTGCAAGCCTCAACCACCGCGTCTGTTACACCAACTTCACAGAGTCACCCACTCCCGTCATAAGGGTGCACCTTAATTAGGGCTCCCCGCGATGACGCCTCCATCGAAGTCTGCTTTGGGGAACTATGAAGACTATACTCTCCTATAAATTGTCAGTCTCACCTACACATGGGGAACAATACATACATTTCAACACAGTATACCTCTTGAGTAATAATATTCTTAAGCCACCGTAGTCATTTCCAGTGGAGTAGGTCACCCAGATCGCACAACCCAATTTTTATGTTTGTTTATGTTGAACCCTCTTACTTCATTCTTGATGAATTTTACATAAACTCACTTTTATGCATCATCAAAACAAAATTTAAAAAGAAAGGGCATTGTGTATTTTTAGTCCCCGACTGTCTTTGGCATTTTTTCAGTTGTGTTAGTTTAGTCCCTATAATTTTTTATTTGCATCTATATCCTTCGGTCAATGAAGAATGATTGAATTGATGATGGAAAATAGCACACGGCATTTGATCAAATATACTTTTTGTACATTAAAGTATCCGAATAATGTTACTTTGGTCCCTCAACTACTAATTTCGTCAATTGCATTCGTCCAATTATAATAATCTGAGATTCATCCAATAAATGGAAACTAAAATTATGAGTTTGTGATTATGGTATCCAATAGTTAGCCTTCCCATATGATAGAGCAAGAGATTGAACTACAAAGCTGGATCATCCTGGAAGATGAACTTCAAGAATGTAGAAGTGTATTCTTATATACTTTCTTAACTATAGCTAAGATTCACATAATCTAAAGCCTACACCATCCAGCACAAGCCAGAAAGCGCATTGAAGGATAAACATGGATTACAAGCAAATTATTTAAGTGATCACTGGGCTTCACAACCAAATATATAATAAAGTTGCTGCTGGAAGCAATAGATAAGATATTCCTGGAAGGCACCAACTGGACATCTTTCAACGTCTTAGAGTTGGGCCAACCAACTGACATAACTTACATGAAGTTCTTGACAGATGGAAAAAGGTGACTTTTCAATTCCAAGCAAATGAATATATACATCTTTCTTTTCCCAAATAAGAAACAACAGAACTCTTCGCAAGCTACTTTACAGAAAGTTAAGAAACCGTCACAAGTTCATGAAGATAGATCTGGAGCAATGTAATGATTCAAGTAGTCCACTAAACACAGGATAGCTAGCATACAGAATGGATGATCTGAAAAAAGTAATCAAAACACAAGCAAATATAGCTGATTGATTCAACTCTAGTAACTCATACAAACTTCCTACTCTTAATAGTATCCTCATAAAGACTAACCACCACTTTTGGCAAGAAAATTGTTGAAAAGCTTAAACAAAATATATTCATTCCAGCAAGAAAATTTTAATGAATACTCCCCCCAGAAAATCTAAGCAGAATTGGCAAACATGATTCTAGAACTAGTTTTAAATCCCTTAGTAAAAGCCATGATCAAATCTATTCAAATCACCACTGACATTCATCCTTCACAAAACCTTTATGGTTGGGTTCTAGGTTTTGGCCATTTGAAAGCCACCAAAAACAATTCCTGGGCCACGTTCTTTGACATCTGTAATGTTTGTATTCTGATAGAGGATAAAGGATAAATAGCAGAAGTGATGAACACAAATTTAGACCAAACCACTACAATGCCATGACCAATATATCTATTTGCCTTTTCCCCATTGTAATATTTCCCTAATGTTTGTCATTGAAGCTCCTAGAATATTCTTGAGAATGCTGTTTTTGGAAGGCATTGACAACTTTCTTACTAGTGTTTCAGCTCATCTTTCTCCTCTCATTTACTTCCTTTCTCCAGAAAATGATAGAACTGATACTGAGGCAATTAAATATAGTAGCTGAACTGTTTCAGCTGCTTTTTCCACTGCTGGCAGCGCATGGTTTGGCCCTCTGTCCTGGTTGCAAAGCATTTCATCTTGTCTTGCTTCATGTCACTTGTGGCATCTATGGCAGAATTTATGTTATGTTTGGAGGCTCACATTGCAGCAACATAGAGAATAAAGTGACATTGGAGGCAAGGATGGAGTTCCACATACTTGTTTTTTAATGTTTCAATTCCTCAAAATACCTGCAAATTATATGTACTTAGCATTTAGACCATATGGTGAATCCTGAGTTGTGTCACTTCTACCACACGGACTTTTCTTTGGCTGTCCTAGCCTTTCAAGGCAGTGATTTTTCCTCTAGAAGCCCGTCAAAGATGGTGGAAGTGATCATAAAAATAACACTTCAATCATCCCATCAGACCGAGACTGAGAGGATGAATAATATCCACTGCTAGCAGCATGTGGTTTGGCCCTTTATCTTGTTTGCATAGCATTTTGTAGTATCTTGTTTTGAATCTCTTGTGGGATCTATTGCAGAATGTTCATTGAGTTAGAAGGCTAGCATTGTAGCTACATCGAGAATGAACTAACATTGGAGGCAAGGTGGGAAGAGTCTTGCATTCATTTTCCATTATCTTTATTCCGCAAACGCATGCAGATATTACTTAGCAGTGAAACCCTGGTGACGAATCCTAAAGGTATGACACTTCTTCTAACCCATGCAGACTTTTCTTTGACTGTCTCAGCCTTGAAGGAATTTATTTTGCCTCTATAAGCTTTTTGAAGACTGGAAATGATCATAATTTCATGAGATAGGGAGAATCCTTTTAAAATGCCCAGGAAAAAATCACACTATTGCATATGTTACCTTTGACTGCTGAGGTGGGGGTAGCTCGCTAGTCTCGTGTTCTAAAGAGTCCCGAGTGCCTCGTGGATAGCCAAATAGGAAAAAAGGCAAATGCTGTAGAATTTCTCTCTACTAAAACAAAGCTTTCTTAATTTGCAATCCGCAGCAGAAGTTTAGTTCTCAGATACGGAGAGTTTCAATATGTAGCAAGTGTTTTATGAAACTGAAAGCATGAAGAATTGCAGTCTACTTGTCATTTTTTGATCGGAAAAAAAAAAAAGGAAAAGGCTTGTCATTTGGGAACTATATGACACACAATTTTATTTAACCTATTTATGTACCATAGTTCTTGGAAGAACTCAGACGAACAGTAGGTTCACATTTGAGGGGTACTGTTTTATATATCAGTTCTATGCAAAGTTGAATGAATCTACATACAAGATGACTTTAAAAAATGAACACAAACACCAAGTTAGTGAGTTTCGAAATCAGCTGATGTAGTTCTTGAATAAACAATCCTTTGGGTAAGATCATTGTGGCCAAGAACAGTGTCCCCCCTGCACAGGACCCAGGTAGCAGGGTATAACAATAAAACCATAAAATGTATAAGCACCATGACATGGAAACATATTTTTGAACCCGAGATGTTTGCAAAGGCTGCATCTCAACTCTGCTGAAAGAATACAAATTTATTTGACGAAAACAAATAAAGTTTTATATATCAATAGTACAACGTATAATTACCCTACTTCGAAAAATGCATATAAAACTTCAATCACACCCCTCCTAGATAGCTTTAAGAGCAGGAATATACCGCAGGTTTTCTAGAAAGAATTTGAAATAAAATTGCGAGCCAAATTACATCCCTCTCTTTTCTGAAGTACGACTGCACCACTGTCAACAATAACACTGCTGCTAGTGCTTAGTTTTCTTTCTTCTTGCTTCTGAGTTCCACATCATCTGGGATACATGATGACCAAAAAAGTGGCAAAACTGTGCATGCCGCCTGTATTAGAAGGCCGCATTGCAAGCCTGAGAAATCATTCCCTGTCACCCCAACATATGATGCAAGCGCAACGCCAAGGTATCCACTCAGTATAAATGCAAGAGCAATAGCAGACATAAGAAATGCCATTACAGAACCCTCGCATCCTGGTGGGCAGAGCTGTGCCATTAGAACACTGAAAGGTAGAATCTTAAAGAAGTACAAAACCTCTAGAAAGCCTGAGAAAACCACAACATATAGTGAATCAGGTACCCCCAGCTTGCGATATACGCCTTTCACAAACAAAACATCTGAGATAATGAAAATGGCAATAATGGCCTGAATGGCTGAGATTAGTTTCCTTGGGGGAATTGACTTCAAGTGTCGATTATAAGTGACACCCCATAGAAGCATTGCCACCTGTCCCAACACCTTAGATATCCCCAACATTGATGATTCAATCTTTAAGTATTGTGTTTGATAATAGAACATTGTGCCTGTTAGAGCTGGAATTATGGCATAAGATGCGGCAAACCAAGTTATAGAAAGGGAGATCTCAGGGTTTTTTAATGCAACTAGGAGCTCTGAAAGTTGCTCTCTGATGCCCAACTTGGATGAACTCTTGGGGAGGTCAAGGGAGTTTTCGTGGATGAATATTGTAATGAAAAATTGGACAGTGAGAAGAATGCCAAACAAAAGAAATATTGCCTGTGGGGAGAAACGGCCTATGGCAACACCGCCTAGAAGGTTTCCCAGGACTCCACCAATTGAGGAGGCCATCCAAACGAATGACTGGAGCTCACCTGAGGGAGATGATTCCGAGTTATTTGAAGACGAAGTAGGTTGTTTTCCGATCTCTGCAACAATGGCATCATTTGCTACCTCAACTACTGAAGCACCAAGGTTCCCAAGGAGGAGATATAAGGTCATTGTGAAGAATGAGATATTTGACAGAGAAAGAGATGCAGTTGCAAGCCATGACACTGCTTGTACGAAAGCTGCACCAACGTATGAGTTGCAAAAATTAGGACAGGTATGCAAGAAACTTCTTTAAACCGATTAAAGAACTTATTTCCTAATGTTTTGCTTTTCATGTTGTCTAGTGTCAGAGCCCTGAATTATGAGAAAACTCACATAAGACAAAAAAAAAATGAACCAATTGCATCACTTTCTTGGTGATAAAATCAACAACAATATTTCATAGCCAAAAATAGAGGAGAAACTTGTATATAGTCTCGATATCACTTCACTCATGCAATAACAAACAACATATTTACGGCTCTTAGACATAAACTAGACATGACTTTGCATGGAGTCACCAGCAGCCAGCAGATGTGTGTTATTTGCGTCTTCACTGGCAGGCTGTACGTCATACATATGAAAAGGAAAAGCAGAGAGGGAGAGAAGGCAATAGAGTGGCCGTGGGGGATATTTTTGCAAAATACCACTACCTCTTAAGACGCATAGCAACATGTTTGTCGAATCATATCTCAGCTTAAATTAAAAAAAAAAATCGTCGAATCTCTTTCCAGTGAAAAAAGGGGGCGTGGGGAAGCCGTTGATTCCAGAGCCTATTGATGGTAAAGAATGGAATCTATCAATTTATAGGAATATGTATATGTTATTGCAGAGAGTACATAGAATGCGATCAAATCTCCGAAGAAATTATAAAAAGGCGAATGAGAATTAGGGGAAAGGGGGAGGGGGAAGAAGAAATAGAAATAGAAAAATTACCACCGATGGCGATGTAGGGGATGCGGTGCTGGCCAGAGATGTAGATGGAATCAGAGAGAAGGCCGATAAAGGGCTTGGAAATCATGGGGAGATTAGCGGAGTTCTGGAGGAGCTGGAGTGTGGAGGGTTCCACCTTGAGTCCGTCTTTGAGGAAGAAATTCACTCCCATCCATGGCAAGCACCTCAATCCCTGCACGCAGAACCCTATCCCTAGCACCACCCTCCTCATCCTCCACCATCCGCTACTATCTCTGTCCGATGCTGACGACGATACCATTCTCTCTCACTCTCTCCCTCCCACGGATGCAAACCACAACCTGCAGTAACTTTAGATAGATAGATATTACAGATTATATATTTTCATCATCATGAATATGATGACAAGTAGTTAAAAAGAAAGAGGACCAGACCAGAACAGACCAGACGACAAGCTTTCACTGGCTCGCTGTGTGTTGATCGGCGGCGGAGCCAGATTTTGTCCGTAGTGGCGGCAACCGGTGGATTGAAGAGAACAATCAGACAAAAACCATCAAACTCTTGTTTTGCAAACAAATAGTGAGAGGCCTTCAACGATCAGATTTGGATCGGATTCCCTATGATTCGAAATTGGATTAAAAACTCTTTTTGATTATGTGACAGAGTTTGTTTTTAGAGTGCATATTTGAATAATTGGAATATTAAAAAACCGATGGATTCTGTGTCTATTAAAGTTCAATTTTAATAATTTAAATTTATTTTAACCAAATATAATAAAATCTCATTAGATATCCATACATACTTGTATATCAATCGAACTGTGCCACACTTCAATTGAATATATATAAATTTAGACTCGTGAAAATTATGCAAATAATACAAACCTAGATAGTTAGTTAAAAATATCAATTTGTTCTAATATTTCGATAAGATCAAATTCATGTCAATATTTAATCTATTGACAAACTTAAAATTTTGATGACCACAAGAATACCATGTAATTTTAAATTATGAAATTGACTCTAAATATTTTCAAATATTCTGCTGGGGAAATTTATATAACAAATAGATTTCTGAATATTTTAAATGGACCCCAAATAATTTTTTGAAATACAGTGAGGCATATGCCTCCATTTCCGGCCCTGGCGGTGATTGTTGGGTGAATGCATGTGTATGTTTGGGATGAAAGACAAAGTATGGAAGAGAAATGAGAGAGATCTGAAACGGTAAAGTTGTAGAAATAATACAATTCTTAATTTAACCTTTCTCAAGTTTTGGTGAATTTTTATTTTTGCACCTCAAATTTTTGTTGCTGGAACAATGATTCTTAAAATTGTAATTCAATTCCAAGCGGTCATTCTACCTATACTATCTGTTAAGAGTAAATATTAAATGCGATGGTGATATTATTTTATTATTGATGATATAATATAACCGATTAATAATAAAAACTCTAAATGAGAAAGGTGAATCTCACTTAAGTTTTCATAACAAAAAAGGTGAAGAGTTATTTGTTTGCATGTCAGGTTAGTTACTAATTTTTGTGAAGTCTATCTATTTATTTATTTTAATATTATTGATTAATAATATCACATTATCTTACTACATGATATCCCGTTATAATAAATATTTTTTCATTAACTTGATGTGATGGCAGGAGAAAAGATAGAGCGGTGGAAGTGGGACACCTATCCCTTTTGTTATTTTAAAAATTTTACAACTTTTTTTTTTTTTAGTTTGTTTTGGTCAATGATGTACGCAACTTGGTAGCCCTTTCTTTTGGGTAAATTTTGTTACATCTTCCCTACATATTCATCTTCTGGGCAGTAACAAGGGATATCTACATAAAAACTTTCATTTTTATAAATACTATATGCATGCAACATGTATGTGGGGTACAAAAAAAATTATATACTGTGATTTTTTGGGATCTCGTTTTTTGAAAATAATCCAATTCTTTCTACAGCTAAATCTCAATTTGTGGAAAGCCTTTGAAGGCTTCCTTAGGAAAACGTAAATTTTTATTTGAGTAATAACTAAATTTTTTATCTCTATTTGCATTTTAGCGAGTTGACCTGCGCTATGAGAAATTTTTGAATAGAATATACTACAATATCTCTAATTCATGAATTTCTTTAAAAATTAAGAAACTTAAAATAATTTAGAAGTTGTCCCCACTTAAAATTTTGTAAAAAGACTTGGGGTACGTGGTAGTTTTGCATTCTAGGTATTAAGTGGATTTGGTTAATTAAAATGAAGTAGAATTCTTTTTTTTTTTTTTTGGGGGGGGGGGGGGGGGGAGAGTGGAATTCTTTCACAAATTGAAAACTTAGACTTAACTTTTCTTTTGTGTTGTGGTCTCATTCAACTGAAGGCTGAAGGTGGATTCGTTATCCTATCCAAAGAAGTTGTGGAAGATGACAAAATCAAGAGCATTGCCTCAAAAGCAAACATCAAGGTTTTCAACACTTGATTCTATTTTTCACCAGTTACGACTGTATTTTAAGAAGTTATGATTAGTGTTTTCAACTGTTACAATTTTGTTTTCATATCTTTCAACGTTGAGCTAGTTGCATTCTCTCTGACTATCTTTCGCTCTCTTACTGTTAATTGATGGAGTTGGACTGATTTTATGATGACTCCAAGTTTTAAACCTTCAATATCTTTGGATATGAATTTGTGGATTGAACCTGAATTTTTATTTCTTTAAATGCGTATAGGACCTAATTACATTCTTTCTCTCTCTCTCACACAATATTAAGTAGATGGAGTTGATGGAGCTGGTCTACTTTTATGATCTATTCATTGGATATGAAGTAGTTCATAGAGGTTATATGTTATTTGAGTAAACTCTACGTATGAACAAGTTGAAATATCTGTCCAAAGAAGGTGATAGACGGTGTGGACTTTCTCCCTCTTTCCTGCCAATATTTTTACATTTATAAAATTGAAAATTCAAAAGATCACATGTTCGAGATGGGATGTCTGTTGGGCCAGGGGCGTCATACATCTTGTCACACAGGCTTCGGAAATGTTACGATACCATCGGCATACTCTTTGGTATAGTAGGCTCATTTTTTGGTCAATAAAAATATGTTAGGTATATATTTATTATTTTTTTTATTTTATAATCAATGACGGTAGATTATTCAATACACAATAAACGATGTACATCATTTTTTATTACCGCACTAACAGATGTACGACATCCACTAGAAAACGGAGCCGGAAGATCGATAGAGTTCCGGTGAGTTTGATGAGGCTGCGATACTTGATGGCGAACATGTAGCACCTGAAAGAAGCTAGAGATGAATTTGATAGGGCAAAATCGGTCGTCGAAGAAGCAAGCGTATAAATGAAAGAGGCGAAGAAACAGTTGATATTTTGCTCTTGTGTTATGGTCTCGTCCAACTGAAGGTTGAAGACGGATGGCGTAGATTCGTTACCCTATCCAAAGAAGCTGTGGAGGAGGACAAAATCAAGAGCATTGCCTCAGAAACAGACACCAAGGTTGTCAAAACTTGATTTTATTTTCCACTTGTTACGACTGTGTTTTCAGCTGTTATGATTTGTATTTTCAGATGTTACAATTTTGTTTTCATGTCTTTCAATATTGAGCTAATTGCATTCTCTCTGACTATCTTCCTCTCTCTTACTGTTAATTGATGGAGTTTGACTAGTTTTATGATGGCTCCAAGTGTTGAACCTCCAATATCTTTGGATATGATTTTGTGGATTGAACCTGAATTTTTATTTTATTAAATGCGTACATGACCTAATTACAGTCTCTCTGTCTCTAGTTTTCTCTCTTTCTATTTCAATGTTAATTAGATGGAGTTGATGGAATTGGTCTGGTTTATGTCTATTCATTGGATATGAAGTATTTTCTAGAGGTTATATATTATTTGAGTGAACTCTACGTGTGAACAAGTTGGAAGATCTGGCCAAAGAATGTGATAGACGATGTGGGCTTTCTCCCTCCCTCCCGTCAATATTTTTACATTTATAAAATTAAAAATTGAAAAGATCACATGTGCGAGATGGGCTGGGGGGCGTCACACATCTTGTCACACAGGCGTCGGAAGTGTTAAGGTATCATTGGCATACTCTTTGGTATTGTAGCCTCATTTTTTGGCCAATAAAAATATGTAAGGTATATATTTATTATTTATTTATTTTATAATCAATGATGGTACATTATTCAATATAAAATAAGCGGTGTAAATTATTTTTTATTACGATACTAATAGACGTACGACATCTGCCAGAAAGCAGAGCCGGAAGATTTTACGAAGTTCTGGTGAGTTTAGTGAAGCTGGAATGCTTGATGGCAAACATAGAACACCTGAAAGAAGCTGGAGATGAATTTGATAGGAAAAAATCGGGCGTTGAAGAAGCAAGCGTACAAATGAAGGTGGTGAAGAAACAGTTGATAATTTGCTTTTGTGTTGTGATATCGTCCAACTGAAGGCTGAAGATGGATGGCGTGGATTCGTTACCCTGTCCAAAGAAGCTGTGGAGGAGGACAAAATCAAGAGTATTGTCGCAGAAGCAAACATCAAAGTTCTCAACACTTGATTCTATTTTTCACCTGTTACAACTGTGTTTTAAGTTGTTATGATTTGTGTTTTGAACAGTTACAATTTTGTTTTCATGTTTTTCAACGCTGAGCTAGTTGCATTCTGTCTAACTATCTTTTTCTCTCTTACTGTTAATTCATGGAGTTGGACTAGTTTTATGATGACTCCAAGTTTTAAACATCCAATATCTTTGGATATGAATTTGTGAATTGAACCAGAATTTTCATTTCATTAAATGCGTATATAACCTAATTAAATTCTCTCTGCCTCTAGTTCTCTCTCTCTCTCTCTCAATGTTAATTGGATGGAGTTGATGGAGCTAGTCTGATTCTATGATATATTCATTAGATATAAAGTAGTTCTTAGAGGTTATATGTTATTTGAGTGAACTCTATGTGTGAACAAGTTAGAAGATCTGGCAAGGTGATAGACGGTGTGAGCTTTCTCCCTCCCTCCCGCCAATATTTTTGCATTTAAAAAATTAAAAATTAAAAAGAACACATGTGCGAGATGGGCTATGTGTTGAGCCAAGGGCATCACACATCTTGTCACACAGGTTTCGAGAGTTTTACGGTACCATCGGCATACTCTTTGGTATTTGTAGGCTCATTTTTTGGCCAAAAAAATATGTCAGGTATATATTTATTATTTTTTTATTTTATAATCAATAACGGTAGATTATTTAATACAAAATAAACGGTATAAATCATTTTTTATTACAGTACTAACAGACGTACGACATCTGTTATAAAGCAGAGCCGGAAGATCGACGTAGTTCCGGTGAGTTTGGTGAGGCTGTGATGTTTGATGAAAAACATGGAGCACCTGAAAGAAGCTGGAGATGAATTTGATAAGGCAAAATCGGGCATCGAAGAAGTAAGCGTACAAATGAAAGAGGCGCAGAAGCAGCTGATATTTTGCTCTTCTGTTGTGGTCTCGTCCAACTGAAGGCTGAAGGCTAAAGGCAGATGGCGTGGATCCATTACCCTGTCCAAAGAAGTTGTGGAGGAGAACAAAAT